AAAAAAAAAATAAAAATAATGAGAGTCTTGATGCTGTTTTTGCACTTTTTTCAAAGACTGGTTTAAGAAAAACTTGAATAACTCAGCCAAAGCCTTACCAATTTAGACTTCTGAGGTATCATCGGTACGGTATTTTCTCACCCTTTTAATTTCTTTGCGAATAAGCTCATTCAAAGGTATCATGTTGAATTATGATGTGTTGGTATTTGATAAAGAACGTGACGTGACGTGAATGAGTTGTTATGCAAAGAAATAAAAAGGTGAGAAAATACCTCTCCACTGATACCTCATAAGTCTATATCGGTAAAGTTTTGGAGCCGTTATTCAAGTTTTTCTTAAAAAAATCTTTGAAAAAGTTAAAAAACAGCATCAAAAATCTTATTATTATGATTCCGTTGATACAATTTTTTAATATTTGTATGTAGATTTCTTAAGCTTAAACTGTTTTGTCATCAGTCTAGTGTACAGTAGTTGAACAAATTATAGCCCTACGAAATTTTCACAAGTTTTAAAATATTATTTTTGTTGTTATTTAATTTTGGTTAGTTTTTTAGTTGGGTATTTCCCAAAATTTGGTGCAAATCGTATCCCAAATATTTTTCTTCATCCCAATCACGAATTTTAATTTGTTGAAATTTTTCAATAGAGTGTCGCTGTATGACTACAAAAAAAAGTCCCGTTTTTTTTTTATTTTGTACCAATAGCTCAATTTAAAAATGTACTAATCTGTACAAATCTAAAATCTAGTGCCACTGCATTATAAATTTATGCAATAAAAAAAAATCAACAAATTTTCGTAAAAATTTCGAGTTTTTTAATTAGATTCTGAGTATGGAGTTCCAGTAGAATAAAGTACTAAAGTATAGAAAATTACGATTAATTTTTTAGAATTTTTAAAAAACCTCGAATTTGGTACGATTTTTTTTTAAATATTGCACAAATTTGGAAACTTGGATTTACATGGGTTTTGTTACGGAATAAACTATATTTTTATAAAAAAATAACCAAAATTAAAAAACAACGAAAATAATATGTTAAAACCTGGCAAAAAGTGGTTCGGCTATAATTATTTGACCACTGTATGTATTTTTTAGTATCTTTAATTGGACATGCACTTTGTACATAAAGGAGTTACAAAACAAAAAATTATTTTTCAAAGCTAATTTTGCCTTTTTTTAAGTTTTTAGGGCCTTAAAATCCTACAGTTCTACATTTCTGGGTGGGAGGGGAGTTCAGAACACCTAAACCCCATGCATAAGATAGGCGACTCACCAATTTCGACCAAAACTACGTTTTGAGCATCTACCACATATACCACACACGGTCAGAAATCTACCACATATTCGCGTTTTTGAGTACCTAGTTTTATTTTTTCTCGACATAATTTTCTTAACTTTAACAGCAAAAATTGTCCAACACTAAAGACTATATGGTAACAAGAATGATGTAATACAGGATTCCGAATTCCCGGCGGCGAAGAAATTTCTCAAGTAAAAGTAAACGAAGCCGATTGGGAGGATAAAATAAACTGTAAAATAGTAAATTTTCTCAATAATAAATTTTTCGACCGGAAACGTGGTTTCATTACGCTGAATTTTAAAATATATGATTTATAAACAAAATTAATAACGAAAATTAAAAAAACGGCGATTTTTGTGTAAGTATTAGCAAATTTCAGTGCATTTAAAGTTTCTGAGGCGTTGTCTACATTTACTTGAGAATTGTCAAAGTCGGCAAATCACAAGTAGCGGTTTCTGTAACGTGCCACATTTGTTCGCTACATCGTGATGTAATAGAATGAAACGCTGACAACACTCCGCAAGGTTGCAAACAAATTTATGTTTCAAAAATATTTTGATATGGAAGGAACCGCTTTACACTGTCAAGGAAAAAATTGCAAAAACTCAATGCAATTTTTAGCAACTTCAGTCTAGCACTTTGTTATACTAAAATTCATTTTTTTTAGAGTCTAATTAAAAAGTTTGCAATTTAGGTGAAACCTTACAGAATTTCTTTAATTTTTGTACAAAGTTTGATCTAAAACCTGAGATCTACCACATTTTTTTGAAATCTACCAAATTTTTTTCCAGATTCTACCACACAGAATTTTTTTGAAGTCCGATCACTGCTCGTGGATACTTAGCTCCCAGTGAACACGCTCATGAAATAGTTGGGAGTTCGGAAATCTCTTTATATTACTTTGGTTTCGACAGACGACTCAAGTAATTATACTGATTGACACGATGGATTTACTATGTTTCGGAGGCCTGACTTCATAAACATAAAGATTGTAGATTACAGGGTCTTTACGACTACTTCATAGTTATTTTAAAAAATACTACGTAAGAGGAAAGTTGAAAGATGAATATTAAAACTTTGTTGGAAGAAAGCACATTTAAGCAAATGTCACATAAAACTGATTCATCACTCGTACATTTTTCGCCTGAATTTCAAAAATATTTTCTTTTACATTTTGCTTTGCAAATACTTGTAAATATTTTAAATATATATATTTTTTTTTTAATTAATATAAGGTAATACAATTTTAATGCTAGTTATACTTTTACAATGCATACTAAACTAAATTATTTACCATTTATGCCTGAATAAAAGCGTACATCATTAAAATATATTTCCGACTCCTTTTTTCCAAGGGTTAAATTTTTAACGATTTCAAATCCGCTTTGTATGGCAGGAATGTGTTTGAATTTCTTTGTGTTTTCTTTAATTTTCAGATTGCAATTTTTTCACAATTTATGCGACCGGATTTTCACAAATCGGCTTAATTTTTTATACAATACACACGAACACTGCACTGAGTAGTAGTTTTTTATATACTTTTTTATTGATATTTTTGGTATCTTTAATGTTTGAAGTTTTGCTATTCCACACGTAACGTAGTATTTATGTATGTATATATGTGCATATGTACATTTAATGATTTCTCGATATTTCCTTCACTTAAACCAATGGCGTGCCACTAATTACCTTGTAAAAATTTGAAATTGAATATTTTTAATGGTTTTTAATGTAATAACGTTTTTTTCCTTTTTCACTTTATATAACTTTTCCTTTTTCGCACATCAGCAATATTTCGAAGTTAAAACAGTTTTTTAGCAGATTTTTTTTTATACGAGCGATTTGTTTCACTTTTTCATTCCAGTTTTATCACAATATGCACAAAATATATTTGTTTAAGCTTGGCTTGTTTTTTGGTATATTGTATGTATAAGTATGTATATGGTTCTTGTGTTATGCTTACTTCTTAGATGATTCTGAATGAGTAATCCTAATTATTTTTGTTTTTACTTAATTGAAATTCGAAATTGGGTAACTGAAAAAAAAAGAAAATATAAAGAAATTATTAATTACATAATAGCAATAAACATTCGTTCATAGTTATAAATAAATACATATGTATGTGACAAGAGCGCAGCATAATTTTGTGCTGATTTCTTTACTTTGCTGCTTGGTGTTTAAATTTGTGCTGAGACAATTTATTTTCTTGTTTTGTGTGCAGATATTTAAATGTTGCTCAGCGGCCACAAATCATTTGAAATTATTCTTAATATTTGGATATGTCCATTTAAATCAATATTTTCGGCAAAATGCGAAACTCTCGAAATAGACAAAGCTAATACGATTGTTGCAGAGACATTTTGCCTAATTCCGGCAACCGGTTAATACAAAACATTCACTGATTAATTACTAATTGATTGGCGCAGGGAAACTGGTTACCCATTTGCTACCACATTTCTAAAGTGAACAATGCAATCTCAAACAAAAAATTGATTGTGTACCAGTGTTGCTGACCCCTGCTGCCAACTTACCAACTAACAAATTAAATTAAATCAGTCGTTTCATCTGTGAAAGCTAAAGAATTAATTTGCTCAAAAGAATATGCGAAAGGTTGCACCAAAATGTGCATGCTCTTTTCATGGCGTTCTTTATTATGGCATTTTGTGCCTAGAGCTCTTGTTGGTCGATTAATCGGTTAATCGAATAGTAAATTCAACGAATAATAAACCCCAATCGACTATCCGTTTTCATTTCGACTTTTTCAACTAACCGCTCACAAACAACTAGTCGACTATTTTTCGTCTAGTTGTTTTCTTTCAGCAAGCATTGTTTTTTATGCAGGAACAGTTATTTTTTTTAAGTCCACTTGGTCAAATATTTTTTAAGTTTGAAATAAAACTCATTTCCTGATAGTGAACAAATCGCTTATCCAAATTAATCAAGTTTGGTATCAAATAAAAGAGAACAAAATGACTTTAAAACTGAAGTGTCTATACGAGCAAAGCCACCTATTGGAAAATATTTAAATGAAAAATGTTATTTAATTACCATAGAATTAACCCTGGGTAAGGTATATGCATTTATTTTGTATTAAATTAAAAAAATGTATATAAATAGAGGGTTTAACCTTCGTTCGTTATTTCTGTTTAAAAGCTATTTAAGTCCTCATTCATTTGGTACCAAACTTGTTTGGTTTGTTTATTATCAGGATATGACGTCAAACTTAAAAAATAATTGGCCAAGATGACGTAAAAAATATAACTGTTATTTCCGGTCCCTGTTTTTTTTATTTTTTTTTGAATATTTATGCTCATTGAGAAAACTCAACTGCGCTGATAACAATACTTTTATGGCGAAAAACAGTCACTATTCGAATAATTTCGGTTAGGCAATTTTCTGACTACTTTATAGTAAGCGGTTAGTCGAAACTGAACGGTTAGTCGAATTCGAGCGGTTAATCGAATAATTTCTACCGTACGCATCAACCGACAAAAAAGTTGCTAATCAGCTAGTTAGTCGACTAACCGAAAGCAGGATAACTGATTTTTAATAAGAGCTCTACCTGTGCCAAGTAAGAAAATAAGATTCAAAGGGGACACGAATTGTGCGAAGACGGCAACCATGTTGCTGAGTTAATTTTATTTGGTTATAGCTACATACATGTATGCCAATTGCCCTTCCTGCCTGACTTCTTTGTCACTTGGTGAATAGTAATGCCAAAGCCAGTGGCGGATCTTGTATTTTACTACGAGGGGGTTTTGGATCTCAAATTTGATCACTTATTTGATTTTAAAATAGGCAAGGATTGTTCGTGCCTTTATGGCCAAGCTCGTGGTGAATTCCACGGTGCGAAGCGTAAATACAAATGGATTTTCCTCTTGACATTTATTGCAGGGTTGCATGATTTTTTCAAAAACGAAATCGAAGAAAAAAAATTGCAAGATGTGCTCAAGTGAGCCAAGTAAGCCAGAATACGACGTCGATATCAAGAAACCATGCATCAACAAACGGCAAAGAAATATATATAGAATTGCATAATATAGAATGCAGTCATCGATACATAACATAACTCATCTTCAGATTCTGTTTTTGAGCACTTCGGTGTTTTAAAGCCGAAAATCCCGTCGCCGCCACTGCCCTTGCGGTATTAAGACACCCGAGTAACAGTTTCCTACCATAACCAACCAAAACCTACCAAACATTTTTTTGAGTTTTAATATTTGTTTTCAATGTCAAATTTTTTAAAAACATAGTTAGCATAACATTTAGTAAAACTAAAACACAACTAGATTAATAAAAACAAATTAACTGCGTATAGCGATTCATTTTACACTGAGAAAAAGGATTAGTTTCGACAACTAAAGATATTTAGTTCCCGAATTTTGACAATATTTGGGAACTGTTACCAAGGATTGGGAACTATTACCATCGATTGGTAATTATAACTAAATATATTAAAGCTTCTAATATTCATCTAGGTTGTAACAAATCGTTAATTTAGTTGAAGGGTTTGGTTAATACTAATAAATATTTCATTTGAAGCATATTTCTACAAATTCCATTCAACTTAACGTATGGTTCATAAAAGGATGTTATTAAGCTCTGCTAATGCAGATAAGCTTTCTTCCAACACGTGGTTTAGTCATAGTTACCAAATCTTAGTTGAGGCAACCACGATTTGGTTTGAGAGTGGAACATATTCATGCTTGTGAGCCACCCCTAAAGAATGCTGAGCGCTCTCTGAGCACATACGAAGAGCGCCAGCTGAGCAATGCACACAGTCCCACTTATTGAATCGTTTGAATGCGCTAGTATGCCGACCATTGCATTGTGCGTGGAAATCATTGCTCCGCTACCGCTGTTCGTATATGGGTGAAACTACGCATGTGGTCCCAGAGCGCTCAGTAAGCTATGGCATGTCGATCGCTGCGCCATGTGTGCTATGACATGCCCATACTTGTTTGTCTCAGTTTCAGTTTTGCTATCATCGCGAGTTGTTTCGGTGCGCGCATAGTTTAAAGTTTAATTAAAAATATAAAGTTTGATTCCAACCGGGGTTTTTCAGTTTATATATAATTCATGTGAATTATAATTTGAAAGTGTCAATTTAGCTAAGGAAAAAGCAAAGCAGTATACTTCCAGCAGATATTGACCTGGGTTTTCGCACGACTGTTCCTGTTTCATCGTTGTTTTTTAGGAAATTCTTACCACCATATACATATGTATTATTTACTTTAGTAACTAACTTATGTAAATATGTACGTATTTTTATGCTTAATATATGCAAATAAAAGAAGAAAGTAAACACAACAAACATCGAGTAAATTTTTATTTGTGTCAAACTGAAACTTTTTTCCTAATAATAAACGGTTAGCTGATTCAAGTCTACAGCAAGCTCACAAAATTAATTGATCCTCATGCATAAAAAGTTAGCTTAAGCTCAGACTCAATTTTTGCACTGGTGGGGTGAGCTTAAGCTCAAGAATTTGTACTAAAAATCGAGTCGGAGCTTAAGCTCACCTTTTATGCATGAGGCCCATTGTTTATATTTGCTCAACAATGATTTTATTCAACTAACAATATTGTCCAATCAAGGTAGTCGTTTTGTAATTATTAACAAATATACATTTGTCCCAACTAGAAGTCTTAAGTAAATTGCAGACTTTCGTGAACTATATATTTATTTCGCCATATCCAACTATGCCACTTGATCACTATAACCAAATCTTGGTTATTATAACTAAACCTTTTTCTGCGTGTACACTTGATTGAAACACTTTGAAACAAAAAAATTTCAAAACACACGAAGCAATCAACATACTCACGACACTATGGGCCAAATAAAGTAAAACTGCGTGTTTAGTTTTAGAATTTTTTTATTGGAACTTTACAATATCAGAGATATGATGAATTCTGAAAATTATTTAAAAAATTCAGTTCAACGTAGAATAAAAATGGGTACAAAATGAAAGCGAAAATTTTGTAGGATTTAAAAAAAACTATATTTTTTGGGTTCACAAGGACGAACAGGTATGGAAATGCCCTTTTAATCAATTTTATTTTTTTAAGCTAATAAAGTTAGAAGGACTATATTCGAGGACGTTGTCGAATGTATATTAGTCTTAAACATATATTTTTTTCTAAATAAGTATTGCAAAATTTCAAGGATGTTAAAGGATACAATTTTTAAGACATTTTCAATACCTTATGCACCAAAAAATTTAATATGTTCTTTCTCTACCGAATTGTTTATATAAATACTACAGAAATATTATTTGATACCCATACTGTTTTTTTAAGTACATTGCGCTAAATTTTTTAAGCCATTTTCTGAATAACTCATATTATTCAATTTTCAAAGTCCTTTTAAAAAATCCTGACGTCAGCGAGAAAATCTAAAAACCCAATTTGACTGCATATATTTGGCCCACATTTTTGTGTGTATAAAATTGCCTGTCACACGGTGTTATGTGTATGTATAATTAGCTCGACATATTTAAAAAAAAAAAATAAATATTAAATAAACAAATGAAATATAGCGAAAACTGGTCAACATAAGGCATTATATTATTGCCACCATTGCAAATTACTAATCCCGAAAATCTCGGGATTCTGGACTTAAAAAAGACCGGGGTCCCGGGATCCTGGGATTAAACTCCCTAGTGCACACAATTTTGTTGCACGGCGTTGATGTGATTAAAAATTTCGCAAGCCCATTGGTGATTGTTGTAGGATGTGCAAGAAGCGAGGCCGAAAGACCGAGAAGAATGCTGCAGAAAAATGTCTAGAACCGACACAAATGCAGACGTTTTGCTCCCGTGGCTAATTTCATGGAATCTGGTTACTAAGAATTTACGATGCCTTCCAAATAAAAAAGAGAACTTTTATCCACCAGAAACTATAGAGCCTCCCTCAAATTAATAAATGTTATTCATTTATTTATATTTATAACTATTTTGTTATACTGTAGTTTTGTTTAAATTTAACATAAAAATTTACCCTTAGTCTAATTCATAATTAGGTACTTATTAATTT